AAAAAAAATCCTATACATGTTTCACTTCTTTTTATCTATTCATATGTTTAATTCATTGTTTTAGACTTATTTTCATTGTAAGTATAATTTTGTAATGTTATTCATAGAAAAAAATCCACAGCTCAATAAATTATAGGCCATGAAGAAGCTTCCCATTAGAAGGAAAAGTTTGGAAAAGTGAAGTACAGTTTTGATTTTTGACTGGGAAACCCCGTTTATCCATTTTCCTGTATATGTATTTAAGTATTTTTCATTTCTGCTGGGTGGAACAATCTATATTCATACGTATCATTCTACACCATATGTCACACTACGACAAATTTAAAATACACCTAAACTTTCATAAAATGATGATAAAATTATTTACATAATTGAGAGATCTATATAAGTGAAAAGTTAGTTTCGAAAATGTTGATATTTTGCACGAATAAGGATTTTGAAGTTTCCATAACAAACTACAAATGAGCAGTAAGTAATTATTTATCTTTATCACAAAATTAAAGGTGAAATATTTCTTTTGGAGTCAAAGAGCAGCAGGCAAGTATATGAAAAGTGAAGAAGAGGAAAGAAGGTAGTATAATATAACAATTCATTAAATTTCACTTAATAAATTCTACAAACTAGTTACATTATCAACAGAACATTCGATTTAGTTCGACTAGAAAATCACTAATTCTTTCCTGAACATAATTGTGAAAGAAAAAAATTCATTTAAACATCAAAAATTCAATTCATCTCAGAACCGTGTTGGAGCGAGATATATACTCTAACAAAATAAATATTTCAAGTTGAAATCCAAAACATTCACATCTCCCAACGTTCTTACACAGTAACTTATACCACAATGGATAGTGGATACTATCCAACAGTCATTAGTGGAAGTTCCCTCCCAGATGAAATTATTGCAGATGCTTCTCGTACGTCTAACAGCAGGACCTTAGTGGAGCACCGTAAGATTTGTACTTCGGAACCCAGGAACATACAATGATTATGAATATTTTGATGTATTGAACATTTTATGTTCCTAGGTTCCGAAGTACAAATCTAAGTATGTGTTATTAACAATATAAAAATCATTTTACTGTGAGGGATTCTTCAAATTCTCTGGAATGCTGTGAACTTAACTTGGTATGAACTAATGTCATCAGATAAAACGTGGCAACACCATAATAAAGTTTGAAATTTTTTAGCATAAATGTACGTGCTATTTGTTTTGTTTACAGTGAGTTAAAAAAATCAATTTGACCAAACAATGGAAATTTCAAGGGAAGGTTTTTGTTGCATCATTCCCACCATTGTCGAATCGAAACTCTTCAAAATATGAGGGCTATTTGGAAATTTTCCCTGCAAACTCTTTCACTTGGTATCCATACCATGAGGGTTCATTAAAACATATTGCACCATTTTTGGGAGTCCACGATATTGAATTTGGAGTGACGTTATTTAATTTTTTTAGAAAACTCTTTCATTTGCTACCCTCACATGCATACCTACAAATGAATTTTGCAAGTTAAATAAAAGCTTATGTAATGCAGAGTTACAATATCTTTACAGGTATTTGACCCTTCCGGTAGATTCTTGCGAACATTTGGCAGCCAAGGTACAGCAGATGGACGTTTCAACTATCCATGGGGTATCACAACTGATGCTTTGGGATTCATTTATGTCTGCGATAAGGAAAACCATAGAGTACAGGTATGAAGTCAAAAAAAACCTCTCGGCATTGTTGATACAACTTACCTCTTCACAGGTATTCCAATCAGATGGTACCTTTGTCGGCAAGTTTGGTTCACTGGGCAACAAAGAAGGCCAACTGGAGCACCCACACTATATTGCAGTGTCAAATACAAACAGAGTAGTAGTGTCAGATTCAAATAATCACAGAATACAGATATTTGATGTGAATGGAAAAGTATTAACATCCTTTGGTACAGAAGGCACAGAAGAGGGGCAATTCAAATTCCCTAGAGGAGTGGCAGTGGATGACCAAGGTTATATCTGTGTTGCAGATTCAGGAAACAACAGAATACAGATCTTCCATCCTGATGGTACATTCTTAAGAGCATTTGGTTGTTGGGGGACAGGAAAAGGTGAATTCAAAGGTCTTGAAGGAGTGGCTATGACACCAAATGGTCACATTCTAGTGTGTGATCGAGAAAATCATAGAATACAAGTATTTTAAAACGTTTTTAATTGATGTGTGAAGTTTTTCCAAACATAAAGTGTGCCAACTTACAATAAATTGATTTGCATTTATTTCATTTTCATTTAAATCCTTTGAGTATTAGGGAAAATAAAAACAGGTTGCTCATTCTTCAGTTTTATTCATCTTGTTAAATGTCAAAAAATAAATTCGTTTCCAGAAAAATGTATAATGAATAATTTGTTACTTTTTTCTGTCTCTTGGGAAATGTCTATTTCTCCCAAGTATCTGGAAAACAATGCAGTCTCGTGGACAACAATATGGCTAGATGGAAGCATGTCATAATAATGATACTAATGATATTATTTGCTCACATACAAGACAACAGTAAAAAAAATACATTGCAGATAAATATCGTATAATCCACGGAAGCAACGTATGTTACTTGTGTTTGGTGTAAGGAATGAGAAATATGAAAAAACAATATGTAAAGCAAAATGTTGATCTAAAATATATACAATATACAGAATAAAAAAACAAAAAAGTGATATGATGGAATCTCAGCGGAACCATAATTAAAATTGGAATTTTTCACATATAGCCAGTGGGTATACTAGAAGACGAGCTATAAATCAAATCATCTGAACTGCAGAGGCTCTCAAACTTATTTTGTCTACCGTCCACTTCGAGGATTAATTATTTTCTGACGCCCCCAAATTTTTTCACTTTACTACATCTTAAGAATCACAATCGCAGTCATTTTAATAATTAAATTATGTGTGTCATGTGAAAATAAGACTTTCTGATGAGGGTAATGTAAAACACCATTTTGTAAAATCAGCATCAATGACATTTTTCATTTTAATCAAATTCAAGTAGTCATTTTGAAGTTGGAGATTGACATCATTGAATAATTTATACAGGTCTGTCAAGTACGCAATATCATTCTTTGAAGTGATGAGGTTGTCGTGCAATTCTTTGTCTTTGTTTTCCAAGAACACTATTACAGAGTCAAATAGATTGTAAAATCGAGCCAAACATTTACCTCTTGATAACCAACGCACTTCTGTGTGAAGCTGATTGAATAATCTGTCATTTAAAGAGCTGTTTCGGATTTTATTGACTGCTTTGATGATATATTGCAGTGACTGAGTCACTCAAATTTTTCGCAACCAAATGTTGCCTATGAATGATGCAATGTACAGCCATTACATCTGGATTTTTTTAAGTACGCTATGAAGCCTTTGTGACGTCCTGTCATAGCCGGAGCGCCATCCGTAGCAGCTGATGTAATATTCTTCAGTGGAATTTCTTTCTTATGACATATTTTACCAGTGTATTATATATGGTTACTCCTTTTCTATCCGTCTCTAAATTTGTAGAAAATAGTAATTCTTGATATATTTTCTCATTTTTAATGAACCTCACGAATGATAACAACAATGCTTCATTGGTTGGTAAAGTGGACTCATCTAACTGAATTGAGAATTTAGAAGTCTTCAGATGATTGCACAATGACTCTTCAATGTTTTCGGCCATCTCATCAATTAGTCTTTGTACGGAACTATTGCTCAAAGAAATTTTACGGATAATATCTGCCGCTGGTTTATGGAGCACAGTAATTATTACTTCTTTTATTGCCGGTAAAATTTAATCCTCTCCAATAGTGTGAGGTTCACCTGTTTGATGTCTTTTTTATCTGAATGCATTTTATTCAAATGATCTTGTAACCTTGAGGTTTTCATCGCTTCATTCGAAAATGTTTTTTGACAAAGAAGGCACATAGGAGAAGATGGATTTGTGGGATTTTCAATAAATCTATATTTTATTGTTCCGTGCTATACTGCCGTTTCTTCTTTTTTGCTTCCGACTTAATTTTGTCTTCAAAAATGCCGAAGTAAAGAATGGAGTATTAAAAACTTGCTAGTGACACCACTCACAGTATTCACCACCGCACGTACAGCACTTTACCTTGCTAGTCGCTAACTAAATTCACTTTTTTTCGTGATATCGAAGAATGACATTACTGGCTGCTGTCTATCTTATGTCGTTCAGATGTTTGAGCCCTAGGCCCCTGATCCTTCTAATCGTCTAATTGGAGATTTTATCTGTTTGGTTTTTGTTTGTGTTTTTTGGCAACAGAGACGGGTCTCTGTCGACTTCTTGTGGCTTGTAGCTCTGTTTGTAGAAGTCGCAGTACTCTTCTACGTTTCTTTTTTGGCGTACTGGCTGGATGGCGTGCGCGCTTTTATATGAAGCAGAGGGCGGGCCTAGTACTTTCGAGAATGGAGACTAGTAACTTCTCGCTTCGCATTGAAGCTTATCTCCATCTATTGTACAGTTTGACAACTATCGGACAGGAAATAGTTACTGTCTAGTCCCCTAGATGGCGTTACATGAGGAAGCGCGGGTTGAGCGTAAAGGAGCGGTAAAGTTTGTGTTAAAAGCAAAAAACATTTTTAAATTAGCCACCGCCCCCCTAAACCGCTTCAACGCCCCCTAATCTCTGTGCCCTTTACTGCCCCCCTATAGGCCTCTAGTGCCTTGAGAAAGACTAATCTAAAGGAATGCCCTTCGTGGTATTAGCCAGGGGAGTAGTTGTTTTCTGATAGGCGTCAGTCCATTCAACCTACTGTGTAGGAAGTTGAGACTGGCCTGAACGAATTGTTCCTTCAGATGATTTGACTTATAGTCAGTCTTCAAGTATGCTCACTGACTATATGTGGAAAGTTTTCATTCCTTATGCAAGGAATTGGGCAAATATTGGTTAGTTACCTCGTTCACAGGCAGACGGGGCGATGACAAACCTGTTATTTGTTGTCCGCTTCAGCCTAGCTCGAAGAATGATACTTTGAAGAAATTCGATTTTCAATTATCGGAAATCATCGACTTTATGTTGATGATAGACACTACCTTGCACTGACGAGTGGCCAAACAGCCCGAAACCGGTCTGCAAGTGTGTTCCTATAATTGAAAATGTATTGCGGCAGTTGTATTGTCAACAGCATATGCAGGAACAACTTCAATGAAGATTCCTGCATTGACGCCTGTCGGATATAATCCAACGCCCTTCGTGGTATCAGCCAGGGTGGTAGTTGTTTTCGGATAAGTGTTAGTCCATTAACCTACAGTGTAGGCAGTTGAGACTGACCTGACCAAATTGTTCCTTAAGATGATTTAAAATTAGAATATTTGTTTTACATATTATTTTTGTTGACTTTTAAATTGACACCCAATTGCTCTGATTAATCGTTTGACTAATTGTTATATGAGATTTGTATGAAATTGACACCTAATTACTCAAATATTCTACTAATTTTTGTGTATGTATTCATTTAATGAATGTTTCAGTCGAGTATAAGACACAAGATAATTAAACACAACGGCGCCCAAAAAATGGTGATATCTTTGATCCGTTGACTTGTAGACACATGGTGCCATATTCCTTTTTTTATTTCGAGCGGGGTAGTTATGAATTGGCCTACACAATGTTTCCTTATATTATGTCAATACCAGTGACCTGCAGAACAGCTGTCTAGGATCAAATACTCATTAATATTCAGAACTATATAACACATCACTGGGATAATGAGGCAGTTTGATCAACACCAGTTTCAATAATTTTCTTTGAATGACTTCCAGTGGGTGAAGGTGTGACTTGGATACCCCGCCCCATCCTATTATGCAGTATATTGAACGGTTTTGTACCAAACTGAAGTAAATGATTTTTTTTTCTTCAATGTTCAGTCTATCTTTCAGTTGACAAAACCTGTACAGTATACACCGCAATTTTTTAACCCTATAATTAATATTAGAGTCCCATCTCATGTAACGATCTATGAGAACCCCTAAATACTTTATATGGTTAG